AGAGGCCAAAAATAGTCACTGGAGGAAAGACAGCATGTTCAGCAAATGGTGCTGGCAAAACTGGATCTCCACCTGTAGAAGAATGAAACTAAACCCCTATCTTTCACCCTGCACAAAAGTCAATTCCAAAAGGATCAAAGACCTCAGTGTAAAGCCTGAAACTGTGAAAATGTTAGAAGAAAACATTGGCAAAAACCTACAAGACATAGGTTTAGGAAAGTATTTTCTAAACCAGACATCAATTGCTCAGGAAACAAGGGCAAGAATTAACAAATGGGACCTCATTAAACTTAAAAAAGCTTCTGTACTATAAAGCTTCTGTACATCAAAAGCAGCAACTAAGGAAGTGAAGAGAAAACCCACAGAATGGGAGAAAATCTTCACCAGCAACACATCCAACAGAGATTTAGTATCCAGAATATATAACGAACTCAAAAAACAGAGAATCAAGACAAGAAGCAACCCAATTAAAAGATAGACTAAGGAGTTGAACAGAGAGTTCTCAAAAGAAGAAGTAAAGATGGCTATGAAACATCTTAAAAGATGTTCAACATCACTAATAATCGGAGAAATGCAAATTAAAGCCACTTTAAGATTTCATCTTACCCCAGACTGGTTAAGATCAAGAGAACAAATGATATCAAATGTTGGAGAGGGTGTGGGGAGAGGGGAACACTCATCCACTGCTGGTGGGGCTGCAGACTTGTTCAACCCTCCGGAAAGCAGTGTGGAGAACCCTTAAAAAACTACAAATGAACCTACCATTTGACCCAGTTATACCACTCCTTGGCATATACCCAAAGAACTCGTCCTATTGCAGAGACACTTGTACATCCATGTTTGTTGCTGCTCTTTTCACAATAGCTAAGAGATGGAAGCAACCTAAGTGTCCCTCAATTGATGAGTGGATAATGAAAATGTGGTTCATTTATATGATGGAGATTTACTCAGCAATAAAGAAAGATGAAGTCATGAAATTTGCAGGTAAATGGATGGAACTAGAAACTGTTATACTAAGTGAAGTAACACAGATTCAGAAAAAAAAATCAACGTATGTTCTCCCTCGTGTGTGGATCCTAGAATAAAACCGTGATAAGTGAGTATGTATCGAGACATAACTACAGGAACCAGAATAATGGAAAGGAAACAGGGAGGTAAAGGAAAAGAAAGAACCTGAAAGAGAAGAACAGTAGGAAACAGGCCTTAATAAGGGAGATATGGACAAAAGTTCGGTTAGTTTAATGGAGGGAGGAGGGAAGGGTATACAAGGAACCTAGGGGATAAGGGGAAAGAAGGAACTTGAGAGGTAGGATTGTAGGAGAAGGGTATAAGGGAGAAAGGGGGGGAAATAGGGGCACCCTAAGTGGGAAAAGTATGATGGAGGGTGAGACAATGCGAGTGATAAATAATGCCTAGCTAGTTTTGAAAACTAGAGGGAACCATATTACTCCTACAACCTATTGACAAATTATACATCATAGCAGATCAAGAAATATATGTCTAGGTAAAGTTTATCTGAAAACAATTGGTCTTTGCCTAAGATTTATCTACATGACACATAGTAATTAAAAGTACCAGACTGGTGCAACTAACCTTGGATGTTTAACAGACATACTTTGAGGCCCATACTAATTTGGTCAGAGGGACATAAAGGACAGTTTTTGCTCTTTGTCCTCCTAGGTCGACTAGTTCCAGGGGACTATGAGCATCTCTCAAAATGTCCTGTAATTGTGGTGGGTCATCTGTCCTCTTCATCAAGGAGGCCAAGGAGACCCCACCAGATGAACTTGAACCAGTGTCCAGTCTACAAAGAGGAGGGTCATCCCAGAGGAACCATTTCCTCCATGCTTCCAAGCGAAGTCAACCATGGTCGAGCAGGACCTTTGACTTATCTTCACATAGGCAGAACTGGTAAAAGGAGCCAGGGGTTCCTTCCAAGCCCATGTGACCCCTGAGGAACAGATCCTCAAATGCCTAGAGTCAGTTTATCTGGACCATCTGTATGACCTTAAACACCCAAAAGGGAAGTATAACCAAAGTTAAAAGGGGCCAACATAATTTCTTAAGGGTCCATATGTATAGCTAAAGGCTACGTAGCAAGCAACAATGCCAGACAGGTGATACCTTCTTTTGAGTTGTTGGCCAGAGTGGCCAAAGGGACTCTGGGAAAATGAACAGCCGACTCCAATCTTATACAAAGGAATATTGATAACTGATTACTGCTAGATGAGGAACAGTTGACCCTCCTAAACAAAGACCTCTAGATAGGCTGAGTAGATTCACCAGAAGGGCAAGTAGTGGGGAATGGCTGGGGGTGATGACAACACAGCAGACAGTAGCAGGGATATCAGAGTATAAGGGCTCTAGTGGGGGAGGGAGGCTATGGCAGGGTGCTATCTGGGAATTGGGTATAAATAATAATAATAATACTTCATAGCATAAAAATTTGCTCCTTCGTAATTAGTAGATGTGAAAAACATTACCATTGAAATCTACCTGATGACTCTATATCCATGCTCAGACGCCAAGGAGCTCAGAAAGTAACCAACTGTGACTAGTAATAATCAGATATATAGAGATTAGAAATGCATGTGCATCTTAGTGTCAATTGTATTAAAAATGAATCTATCTGTATGAAACTGTGTATTTTAATAACGAAATGGAGATCTTTTTTAAGGTTAAAACCTCATTTAATTTTAGGTCTTATAGGGTTTATACTGAGTACAATATTGTATAACTGTATTAATTCAACTGTAAACCTAAAAATTACAGCCAATTTTGAAAGAGATGCAGCTTAGCTCTGGAAATTGTTTATGACTATGTCAATGCTATTGTAATGAAATGCCTCTTCTAATTATATGGTTATTAAATAAATAATTTAAAAAATAATAAACTATGCTTATTTAGTGCTAGAATGTTTGTATGCATTCCTCACCCTTATATCTAAACAACACTCCTCATAAAACCACCTTATGGGCTGGAGAGATGGCTTAGAGATTAAGAGCACTGACTGCTCTTACAAAGGACCAGGGTTCAATTCCCAGCACCCACATGGAGGCTAACAACTGTCTGTAACTCCAGTTTCAGGGGATCTGATGCCCTCTTCTGACTTTCTTGGGCATTGCATGACATAGATGCACTTACATACATGCAGGCAATACACTCATACACATAAAATAAAAATAAAATATTTTTTAAAATCTTACAATTTTATTTACAAAAGAAAATTCTCTAGATAAAAAAAAAATAGGGACTGGCAAGATGGCTTAGTGGGTAAAGGTACTTGCCACCAGTATGATGATGTGAGTTTGATTCCCGGACGCCACATGGTGGAGTGAGAGAACTGATGCCTGCCAGTTGTCCTCTGACCTCCACACCTACTCCACACCCCACCACACACACACACACACAGAGTGTAAGAGAGAGAGAGAGAGAGAGAGAGAGAGAGAGAGAGAGAGAGAGAACTGATGAGATGGCCCAGCAGGTAAAGGCTTGTTCTTCAAGCCTAATGACCTGAGCTTGATCCCCAGGACCGACATGATAGAAGGAGAGCATTGATGTTACCCTCTATAACCCGGAAGTTCCCCTGACCCTGTAATGACAAGCTGTGGTCCCACCTCCTTCTCATGCTCTGCAGAAGGAGTCAAGCCCGTTACCTTTTCCATCCAATCAGTTGACCTTAGCTCCATGAAGGGGAGGGGCTATGGATATATATGCTGGTAAAACCATGAAACCAGTCTCTCACCATTTTGTACGGCTGTTGGGAAGCTACAGGATTTATGTTTGGGTGTGGAATTTCGAGCACCGCCATGAATAGGGTAGTCACCATTTTTGGAATAGAGCTCAGAGACTGTGGGTGGGATGGCACACACCTCAAATATGGGAAAGAAAAGCCCATGCGAATCTGTGTCTTTGTAACTCACCCCCTTTTCTGGACATCATATAAACTATGCAAAACCCAAATAGAATGTATTATGTCAGTTTTGTTGCATCAGGACCGCTAGACCCTGAGTGAGGGCAGGTCTCCTAGTGGGGAGGGGAAAATTTAGTGACACATCCTCTGCTGGCATTAAAGGTGTGTGCCACTATACACAGCCATTTTTTGTTTTCTTGAGACAGGGTCTCATGCAGCCAAGGGTGGCCTTGAATCCCTAATCTGCCTCCATCTCTCAGCCACTCTCAAGCACTGAGATTACAGGCATGAGCCACCAAGTCTAGCTCTTTAATATTTACCATTAAAGGAGAAAGGATCCTCTTCAAATCCAAACAAGATACAATCTCCTTTCTTTTTTGCATCTTCTAGCATATGTAGATTTCTCACTGATGTGGTACATCTTATCTTTTTTTTTTTAAATGATGAGTTTTATGGGTGAATATTCTCACCAGAAGGAGTCTTCATACATGTGTTTGTTCATGAAGCCTTAACATCTGAACTTCATATTTTAATTTATTAAGGAAACACGTAGATATAGTAGTGCATGCCTGTAACCTGAGCATTTGGGAGGTGGAGATAGGAGATCAGGAGTTCAAGATCATTCTCAGATACATATTGAGTTCAAAGCCAGCTGGGCTAAAGGAGACTGTGTCTCAAGCAAAACAAGACAAAATAAACAGAAAGAAAAGAAACATAAAGGATTCATTTCTCTTCAACTATGGGGCATATTAGTCTCTAAATCCTGGATGCCTCCAAATCAGGGCAGAGGAACTTGCTGCTGTCTACCACATACATGTTTCCTGCAGACCTGTCAGGCCATGTGAATAACTTTCTTACCAGATTTACCTGGGGAGTTGGTTACAAGAGTATTCACAAGCTCCCTTCAAACTCAGAATCTTTGGGCCCGGACTGCTAAGCTCTATTTCTAAATAACCTTGTAGATGATAATGGTGTCCTCTGAAGGTTGTGAATCCCGGGCTAAATTCTTACCTTCTTGTAAGAGAGAAGAAAAAAGAAAAGAGAGCCCTACCGAATTGCCCAACCCTCCCCAAACAAACCCACGATCCTGAGAGTCTGTCCTTTATTGTCTCTGTGTCTTTGTTTCTTGTACATTCTTCCACCAGTAATTTATTTATTATTATTTTGCGATAGGCTCTTGCCTGGCCTCTGACTCATGGTAAATCTTCTTCCTGAGGCCCCAAGTGCTGGGAATACAGACATGAGCCACCATACCTGGCTTTACTTTTTGAAAAGTTGAAATTAGCAGACAGTGGGAAGCTATATTCACTCAATTTACATTCTTCTACTGACATGTTTCTGCAGCTGCTTTTCCACTAGTCCATACTATTGCCCATTGCTGTAGTCATTGACCCATCTTACTCATTTCTTGTTGGATGAATTTTTAAAAGAAATGTCAGATCCCAGAGTGGTCAGTTTGGGATATCAGTGACTTGAAGGACAGTAACTCACAGGACAGTAGATCTTGTGGTTGGATGAAAACAATAAGAGGTTGCCTCCTCTTATTGGATAGAATTCCTGACTGTATGCTGAGGGTGTAGCTGAAAGGCAGAGCCTAGACTCTGCATACTGGAGGGCCCGGGACTATAAATTAAAAAAAAATTAAATGTATCAGTAGTTTCTTAGCCTTTGAAGGACACTTTGAATGCATTTGTTTGTTGTTTGTTTTGAGCTAGATATCATGGAGCCCAGGCTGGCCTTGAACGCACTATGTAGCCAAGGATGTATCTTGAATTCCTCATCCTGCCTCCACCTCCCAAGTGCTGGAATTGTGTGAGTGGTACTCATGTCTGTATTCCCAGCACTTGGGGCCTCAGGAAGAAGGTTTACCATGAGTCAGAGGCCAGGCAAGAGCTTATCTCAAAATTATATATATATATCTCCACAATTCCAGCACTTGGGAATATATCACTATGTATATCACTATACCCTGTTCCAGTGCATTTCTTGCTAGCTGTGGACAAATTCATCAGTGTTGTAGCTACTGGTCTTAACTCATCTGAATAGGAGCTTTTGTTTTATTACCAGAAGAAGGAAGGGTGTTTGGAACCATGGGGAAGATCTGTGAAGCTGATGGCAGCAATAACTCTCCTCTTGTCTGTAGTGGAGTGTTAGTTACTCTTCTTATTGGCCTACCAAATACCCTACCAAAGCAACTCAAGGAAGGAAGAAGAGTTCGCTTGACTCATGGTTTGAGGTTGTCCATCATAACAGGTAAAGCATGACGGCAGGAGAGTGAGGTGCCTGGTTACATTGCATCTGCAGTCAGAAAACAGAGAGATGAATGCTGGTGCTCAGATGGCTTGCTCCTTTGTCCCTTCATACTTAGTCTGAAACCTTAATTCAAGGGCTGGCACTGCCCACATTCAGGGTGAGTCTTCCCTCCTCATTTATACCTCTCTGGAAATACTCTCAGATACACCCGGAGATGTGACGTCTATGTGATTTTAAGTTCAGGCAAGTTGATTAGCTGCCGCATGGAGAGATGAGTTGGAGATAGGTTTTCTGGCTTCCTGGTCAACAGCTGGGCTCAGAGTCAGATCACATGGTCTTGCATTCCATCTGCTCCTGGTGGTTTGCCTTTGGATATGACATTCTGCCTCTTGGCCTGCTTTTCACCTGTAAAATGAAGGTAAAGACAACATCTATGGTTAGATCATAGATCTGCCCCTTTAAGAGACTGGGCAGCCTGGGGGAGATCAAGCCACATTTCCCTGTAGCTCAGGTCCCTATTCCTCTGCAGGTATAGCAGCAATGCCCTGACTAGGGGTTCTACTTTGCTTTCTGTTGCTGTGATAAACATCATGACCAAAAAAAAAAAAAACAACGTGGGGAGGAAAGGGTTTATTTCATCTTACAGCTCACAGTCCAGCATTGAGGGAAGTCTGAGTAGGAATTCAAGCAGGAACCTGGAGGCAAGAACTGAAGTAGAGACACAGAGGAATACTGTTTACTAGCTGGCTTCCTTTGGATTGTTCAGATACTTTCTTATACAGCCCAGGCCCACTTGCCTAAGGATGGCAATGTCCACAGTGGACTGGGTCCTCCCACATCAATCAACATGCCCATAGGCCAATTAGAGGCAATTCTTAATTGAGGTTCTCTCTTCCCAGGTGACACTAGTTTGTGTTAAGTTGACGAAAACAACCAGCACACAAGAGTCCCTCTCTCCATTTTTACCTCTACAGGCAAGTGCAACCCTGCTGCCCGGCCCAAAGCAACCATGGCATTTAAATTATGGCCTTGCTTCTTATTGAGTGCCTCCAAACTGTGATGCCTAGGTAAAAGCCATATATTGTCTTGAGGAACCCACCCCCTTGGGAAACCTGTGACAGTAAGGAATTTCTTTTGTTCCCTGCCCTCTTCCTTCACTTGAGATCTGGAATTGAGCCTCTACTGTGGTGGCCGGAGGTTTTTAAAATTTTTATATCTATGAGTGTTTTGCCTGCATGTATGTAAGAGTACTATGTGCATGCCTGGTGCCCTTGGAGACCAGAAGAAGGCGTTGGATCCCCTGGAACTGGAATTACAGATAATTGTTAGTCTCCACGTGGGTGCTGGGAACCAAACCAGGGTCCTCTGCAAAAGCAGCCAGTTCTCTTAATCACTGAGCTACCTGTCCAGCCTCAGTGGCCAGAGTTATTAAAGGACCTGTTTACCTGGACTATGCCTCAATGTCTGTTTATATCAATCCAGCCTCTTCTATAACATCTTTGTGTCTCTTTCTACAACATCTACTTTGTGTCATTGGAAAGGAAGTGTATGTCCCTAATATGTAACTCAATTAACTTCACTTGCTAAAATATAATTACATTCCTTAATATGTGCCCTTAAGCGTATGTAAAATTACATCTGTGACTGCAGCATTATTTGGATAAACAAGACAGAAACAAGGTAGCTGGGAGATGTGGTTTATGCCTGTAATTCCAGTACTTGGAAAGCAGGAAGTTCATGAGTTTGAGGCTAGCCTGGGCTACATGGGGAGGCCTTGTCTCAGCAAACCAAAGAGGAGAGAGGGTGGGAGGAGAAGAAGGAAAGAGAGAAGAAAAATGAAATGATTTTTAAAGATTTCTTTTTTTTTTTTGTTTGTTTGACCATGTCTGGCTTCACTTGGAAGCATGAATGAGATGTTTCCTCTAAGTTGAAGATTTATTTTTTTAAGTGTGTCTGTGTATGACATGTGTGTGGGGGTACCCACAAAAGCCAGAAGAAGGTGTTGGATCCCCTGGACTTGAAGTTACAGTTATGCACTGCCTGATGTGGGTGCTGGGAACTGAACTCAAGTCCTCTGTAAGAGCAGCAAGGAATCTGAACCACGGAGTCATCTCTTTAGCCCCTAAATGATTTCTATTTTAAAATATTTATTTATTTTATTTTATGTGTGTATTGCCTGCACATATGTAAGTGCACCCATGTCATATAATGCCCAAGGAGGGCAGAAGAGGCCCCCTGGAACAGGAGTTACAGATGGTTGTTAGCCACCATGTGGGTGCTGGGTTTCAAACCTGGGTCCTTTGCAAGAATAGCCAGTGCTCTTAACTGCTGAGCCATCTTTCCAGTCCCTATTTTTATTTTTAATTATGTATACTTTGTGTGTGTCTGTGTGTGAGTGTGTGCATATGAGTGCAGGTAACTGCGGAGGCCAGAAGAGGGTATTGGATCCCTGGACCTGGAGTAACAGGCAGTTGTGAACCACTTGATGTGGGTGCTGGCAACTGAACTCAAGTCCTTTGGAAGAGCAGTACTGGTCTTTAATGGCTGAGCCATCTCTTCAGTCCACTATAAATGATTCTTAACAGAGAATCTAGTCTAGAAGGAACACAGAGAGACACAATAGAAAGCAATCCTGAAAGTTCTTCAGAGAAACATCTTTTTTTGCCATGTGGGGGATTGAACCCAGGGCTTCGTGCATGCAAAGAAGTGCTCTAGCATCGAGTTAAATCCCCAGTCCTCTGCCCAGGTATTTATATGTTTAGTGTGTCCACATCCATTGGGTCTCATTCAACACAAATACCAAAGTGATCAGAGATGCCTTTCCCAACCACCCATTTAAGAAGTAGTTGCTTGTGGGGCTGGAGACCCTTTTCTGCCTTCCTTGGACACCCACACAGACATATTCACTCAGATTCACAGACACACACACACACACACACACACACACACACACACACACATATATTTTGTCTTTTTGAGTCAGGGTCTCTCTGTAGCCCCAGCTGTCTTGGAACTCACTATGAAGACCAGGCTGGCCTCGAACTCACAAAGATCCTCCTGCCTCTGCCTCCCAAGTGCTGGTATTAAAGGTGTGTGCCACCACGCCCAGCTGAGACATATTTTTTTTTGGAAAAATAGAAAAGAGCTGGGCATGGTGGCGAAAGGGTCTGTTAATCTGTAGCTGTGTATTCTCCATCACATCACAGTACAGGTGTTCTGCCACTTATAATGGGATTATGTCCTGATAAACCCAGCATATATTTAAAATATCTAGAATTTTTATCTGGGTGTAATAATGTAATAAAAAATTTTAAATAAAGAATTTTTTTTGGTCTTTTGAGACAGGATCTCCCTGTAGCCCCAGCTGTCCTGGAACTCACTATGTAGACCAGGCTGGCCTTGAACTCACAGAGAACTGCTTGCCTCTGCTTCCCAAGTGCTGGGATTAAAGGCATGTGCCACCACACCCGGCTTGTTATTAACCTTCTTAAACTATCAACAACTCTGTGTCTTTTGAACAAAAATGGTTTGTAGTATTATCTTATGGTTTTTATTAATCCCAGTAGTTATGAGTGGTGGTGCATGCTTTTAATCCCAGCACAAGGGAAGCAGAGGCTTCCTCTGTGAAATCAAGGTCAGCCTAGTCTACAGAGAGAGTTCCAGGCTAACTTGGGGCTATAGGGAGACCCTGTCTCAAAACAACAACCACAAAGTTTTTAATTAGGGACTGGAGAAATAGTTTAGGGGTTAAAAGCATGTACCTGCTCTTGCAGAGATCCTGAGTTTGGTTTCCAGCATTCATATTGGGTGGCTCTCAACCTCCTGCAGACATAGTTCCAGAGGTTCTTACTCCCACTTCTGGCCTTGGAGGGCACTCACACTCACCCATGAACATCTTCCCCCATACTCAAACATAAATTATAAAAATAAATCTTTTAAAACATTTTTAATTACAAATAAAAAATTTAAATTATTCGTAGTATGTGTACAAGAGTGTGGTGGGCAGGTGTGTGCCACAGTGCATATGTGGAGGTCATAGAACACCTTTTAGGAGTTGGTTTTCTTTTTCCTTCATGGACTCCAGTGATTCAACTCAGGTTGTCAGTTTATGCAGCAAGTGTTTTTATGGTCCCAGCCATTTTGCTGGCCCTAAGTTATTATTACTATTTTATAATTTTTTATGTGTATATGTGTATGCCTGAGTGTATGTACACTGTGTGTATCCAAGTGCCCACAGAAGCCAGAAGAGGGTGTCAGATTCCCCTGGAACTGGAGTTACAGGTGGTTCTGAGCCATGAGGCATCATGTAGATGTTAGGAACCAGATCTGGGTCTTCCTCAACAGTGCTCTTAATCACTGACCCAGCTCTCTAGCCACTATTTATTATATTGTTATTATTATAATTATTATTATTATTTTGAAACAGAGTTTCATTTAGCTCACTGGGGTCAAACTCCCTTGCTATGTAGTCACCAGTAGTCTTGAACTTCTGGTCCTCCTGCCTCCACCTCCAAAGGTTACAAGTGTGTGCCACTACAACAGGCTTTATGCAGTGCTAGGGTTCCAACACAGGGCTTTGTGTGCATGCTAGGCAAGTACTGTACCAACTGATCTAGATCTCCATCCCTAAGTTATTTTCATAGGTTTGCATACCAAGTGTGAGTTTCATCATGGCATCTTTGTCCAGGAGTCCTTATACTGTGCTCTCATCTATTCCCCTCCCTCTGACTGCTTCCCTTTCTTTCCTCCATTAGTCCTTATTTCTGCTTTCTTCTCACATGTGTTCCAGCATTCTATTTCCCATCTCTTTTAAGATCTCCTCCTCCCTGCTCATGATCCCCTTTCTAGTTTCATGATCTACAAATATTCTATATAAACACACTGGTATGGGTGGAGCATGGTGCACGATTTTAATCCCAGTACTTGGGAGGTACAGGCGGGGTGGGTCTCTGTGAGTTTGAGGTCAGCCTGTCCCACATGATGAGTTCTAGGCCAGCTGAGGCTATAGGAAGACCCTAAGACCCTGTTTCAAAAACACCAAAAAAAAAAAAAAGTGTTAATCTCTGTATTGTTCCAATTTTTAATATATGTTCTGCCAAAGTAAACACTAGATTAATCTCTTCATCTGGTATAGGGTCCCCAGTGCCCCTGTTGCCAGGCATTATAAAAACCTTTGTTCCTGTTGGTCTCAGGCAGAGAATCTTCAACGGTCTTTCTTGGCTGGCACTATGCCTTCCAGGGCATTCGAGCTCTCTATAATGAGGCGCACACCAGGCACTCAAACTGCTTCTGGAAAGCACCCCTCAGGAGCCATAGCGGCAACATAAAGGGAGCAGCGGAGTGGGAGCGGCTGGGATCTGGGCTCTAGTCAGCGCTCTCGGTACTGTCCCGCCGGAGCCTGCGTTCGGGCCGAGGAAGCGGAGAAGCTCCTGTTGTGCCTGGCCGCCTCAATCCGGGTTCCGCCCCGCCTCCCCGTTCTCCATGCTCCGCCCCTGCTCCGCCCACCTCGCTCTCCCGCCTCTATCCAGCTGCCACTTCCCGTGAAGCCGGCTCTTCTCGCGGACTCTCAGTGCCGCGAGCTCCGATCCGCCCTATTCCGCTGTCGCTCCAGTTCTGCTCTCCCCGGCGCAGCTTTCTCGCTGCCACGCCCCGCCCTCTCTCCGGCAGCCGTGCCCCGCCCCGCTTGACAGGCCACGCCCCCACGGGT